GGCATTATCAGTAAGCTTACGCTATACATTATGGGCATCGATATCGCTCGATTTTCTGATGATAAGACCATCGGCCCAATCGGTATAATACTCTCTCATTCTCTCTCTTTCTCTCTTTCTTTCTCCACGTCATCGTCGTCGTTCTTGATTTTCAACTCGGCGTTTCACGGAATCCATATTTCCCAACGAGTGTTCCAGGAGGGTATCCTTTTTTCAAGCCCACGCTTCCAACCCCATCCACACCCTTCCCCATCTACTAAGTTCGAACTCTTCCTCCTTCTTCTCCTCCTCCTTCTCCTCCTCCTCCTTCTCCTCCTTCTCTTTATTCTCCTCATCCTCCAACGACGGTATAGCTGCGACTCTACGACGATCGATCGGAGTTCCATCGGGAAGAGGCAGCTGCTGACGAAGACGACGTGGCCGTCGAGAGGATCGGAGTCGAACGATGCTTACAAACGGGACGAACGAGAGAGAGTGAGCAAGAGAGATCAATACCGCCATACTACTACCTTCTACTACCTACTATCTACTACACGCTTTCCGACTGACCCTAACCCATAAAACGGAACCCAGAAGTCGTTCTATGCGCAACAGAAACGGATTCTACTCTCCTAGGAAGCTTCATTCGTAAAGATAATGGACCAAAATGGAAGGGACGTGTTGTAGGTGTATGTGTGTGTGTGTGTGTGTGAGAGAGAGAGAGAGAGAAACAAATGGAAAATCTGATCAATTGATTTGTTCGATCCTAATTAACTACAGGTATATTCTAGGTGAAAAGATAACGATTATTCAATTTATTTATATTAAACGAAGATATTCAAATGAAGCAGTACGATGTACGGATATGATAAAAAATAATGAATTTATATCTTCGGTGAAAAATCGAAATAAAAATGATACGTACGTACGTGTGTGATGATACAAAGAAAAAAGAAAAAAACAAAAAAAAAAAAAGAAAACAAAAAAGAGAGATAAATCAGATAATCAAAATAACGAATTTATGCAATAAAGAGAAATAAAAATAAAACATTGGATCAACCTGTTCGAAATGATAGGGGGGGGGGAAGGGGAGGGGGAAAAAAAGAAAAAATCAATTATAAATATTACATGGTTACTCGAATACAGTATTTGATTAATAAATTCACGGAGATAGATAAACAAAGATAATCAGAAAAAGAGAAAGAGAGAGAAAAAAAGCGCCCACGCAAAAGAGAGAGAGAGAGAGAGAGTGAGAGAGAGAAAAAATATTTTTTTAAAAACAACCTACGCGTTTCACCTCTTTTTCCGTAATAGAAAATTTTTTCTTTTTAGAAAAAGATTAAAAAGAAAGAGAGAGAGAGAGAGAGAGAGAGAGAGAGAAGTATAGAAAAAGAAAGACACCCCGAACGTTTTTAGATACGTGGAAACGAAACGTGCATAAAGATTCGAACTCGTATCCCGCGTCGCCGTCTCGTTATTGGAATTTAGTTCGAGCGGATTCTCTCGCGCGTATCGCAACGTAGCTGCTGCTACGTTTGTCCTCCTCGTAAATCTTCTTTAAAGGTCGCTCGTGTGTACCGTGGATCGTATTGTGTGCGTGTATACGGTATGTATATATGTATAGGTTTTTTTGTGTATACACGCCAATGTATTTACATACATTTACATACATACGTTTACAACAACTTGTAGGTATACATTTTAAATAACGCGCTAATTAATTATTATTTCAACTTCTTCTTCTTTTTTTTTTTTGTTTTTTTTTATTATTTTTAATCTTTTTTTTTTATTTTTTTTCTTTCGTTTTTTTTTTTCTTTCATATTTATTTATTTTCTTTTTTTTCTTCCTTTGTTTTATTTATTCGTAATCATCACTATTCCATCGACGATAATGATTTATATTTAAAAAGAGAGAGAGAGAGAGAGAGAGAGAGAGAGAGAGAGAGAGAGAGAGAGAAAGAAAGAAAGAGAGAAAGGAAGAGAGAAAAAGAGATACGGTTCATCGAGTGAAAAATATTAAATGTAAACGAGTTTTAAAAGAAAAGCGAGAAGAAGAAATGTAAGCATGTGTTTGTGTGTGTATGTATATATATATATATATATATATATATATATATATATATATATAGTCAAAGTAATCTTTTCCAATAGATAGCTTCTAGAATTCATTAGTGAAGCAAATCAGAAAATGTTCCAACGGGGAGATACTACATTCCAAACAACCTTTCGGTAATAGCTATCGAGCGAATAGAGAAACACCGAAAGAGCAAGGGAGAATAGTTGAAAGTTATTATCTTCTTCCTAACATCGGTGATGTCCGATGGCGAAATAACATTTCATCGCGTGAAGAACGTTTAAAAGAAATAGGATCGAGCCTCGCTAAAAATTTTAACGACGAGCTGCTTATATACGATGGAATACGGCAAGTGACGAATTTCCAACATTTTCTTTTATCTCGGGCGAACAAGGATGATGGATCTACGTTGATGGTAAATACAAATTGGATGGATCGGATTTAACGTCCTAGCGTTAATCAATTAAACTGATGGATGCTTGTTCTAACGTCGCTATCTGAATTAGTTTTGTTCGTTGGCTTGTATTCGTCAATAAGAGGATTTCTATCCAAGGCTAGTAAAAAGTGAAAGGTTTTCAACGATCAAAATCCATCGACCTAGATACGTGGTTGAGGATTAAAAGTGAAAAAAAAAATATATGTATATATATATATATATATATATATATATATATATATATACATATATAGAAGGAATGAAAATATCGTGGAATGATCAACAACAGGTTGTTTGCTAAATCGAAAATCATTGTTTTCCCAGAGAAAGTTCGGATTTTATTCTTGCTTCTAAAAAAATTAAATCGATATTCTATCGAGTATCTAATTATCTGTATTTATCGGATAATAATTTGTTTCAATTATGGTCTAAAACAAGTTTCTAATAACCGATCACAAATTTTCATCTTTTAAAATATAACAAGAAGATAAATCGATGTATACCTAACGTCGATACTTCATTCTCTAAAATATTCGCAAAAACTAGTTGCTACTAGAAGCAAGCTACTCATTTTAGCTTCGTATACTTTTTCTTTACTTTTTCTTTTCTTTCTTTCTTTCTTTTTTTTTTATTTTCGTTTTCTTGCTAACCTCTTTAAAAATTTATCCACGATTGTACGGAATAAATTTTTAATAAGCCGTACACTATGCCCCGATGCAATAAAATTTACAAATAACGTACCACCAACACCAACGCTTACACTCTCCATCTCTTTTTATCACATGCAAACAAAACTCGTTCGAGTAGTACGCTCGAATAGGTACTTTTTCTTAGTTTCTCTCTCACGTAAAGCGTGAGATTGTTCCTTCTCGACTAACATTCGTCCTGTTAAAAATTCATTCATTAAGATTAGCTCGAGAGATCGAATTTATCGATTGATCGAAGAATTGAGAGAAGAGAAAGGAAAACATAAAGAAAGAGAAAGAGAAAAGAAAAACAAAAAGATAGAAAGAGAACGATAGAAAGAAAGAGAGAAAGAAAATAAGACAAAAAAGGACAAAAAGAGGCAGAAAGAGAAAAAAGACGGTATTCTTTTCTTGCGAACTCGTAGCTTTTTCAACAGATAATTCGGACTTTAAATAAGACTCTCTCTCTCTCCCTTGCTCTCTTGCTCTCTTGCTCTCTTGCTCTCTCTCTTTCTCTCTCTCTCTCTCTCTCTCTCTCTCTCTCTCTCCCTTTTTTCTTTCTTCCTTATTTTGCTCTCTTTTTCTTTTACTTCGATAGTAGGACGGTCGAGCCGAGCGATTCTCACGGAAGGAAGAGTACTCGCGGTCGGTCGGCGGTGGAACGCGAGCTACCACCCTCGAGTGGGTGAGTGTATCGAATCGAGGGTCTTCGCAGATTTTCGGCGAGCTTCGTTCGCCCACGGGCTCTCCCGGGCAGCCGGCACGGCTCAGTGTACTGCGTGGCTGCCTGGACCGCAGGCGCCTCCGGCCGAGCAAACAGTCTGCGCTTGGCTCTCGGCGCTCTGATCTCGGAGCTCTCTCGCTTGCTCGCTCTCTATCTCTATCTCTCTGTCTATCTATCTGTATCTATTCACTGCGTGTCGCTCCGTGAAATCCGTATATTTTCTTACCAACTTTTTTTTTTTGTTTTATTCATATATACATATATCTCTCTTTTTCTCTTTTTTGATTACTGATTTTTTTTACTTCTCTGTCTTTCTTTCTCTCCCTCTTTCTCTCTCTCTCTCTCTCTCTCTCTTTCTCTATCTATCTATCTCTATATCTTTAATTTTCTCTTATCATATTAAAATATTTGAACGTAAGATTTTTCATTCTCCAAATGGAAGATAAAAGTTTTTCCAATTATCCTTGGAATAATCCTTGGAAAAGAAGATGAGATTGACTTAATCGTCGCTATGACGTCCGAGGAAAATCGTTCAATTTATAAAACGTTAATAGCAACAAGAACAAGAGCAAAAACAACAACGACAACAACGACGATAGAAATAACAGGAACGTTAGCAGTAGCAGCATCAATAATAGCAACAGTAGCAGCGTCAAAAGCAGTAGCAACAGTAGCAGCAACAGCAGCAATAGTAGCAACAGCGGCGACAATAGCAACAGTGGCAACGGCAACAGGAGGAAAAATATCAAGGGGAACGATCGCGATAAAGAAAAACGTGTTACGTAGATATTATTCGTAGCATCGAGTGGTGGTGTGAGCTTTTTGCCGAGCTTATTTCGACTCGCCTACGGAATCTCGAGCAATGATCATCACTTACGAATTAGTAAGACTCGTCCATCTGATGAGTACGACGAGGCGATAGGAAAAACGTTTCTTTCATCGTTCCCCGTTTATCTCTTTCTCTCGCCTCTCTCTCGGTGCCCAGGCACTTGTGTCGTTATTATTAAAACTAATCCGCCTATATATATATATATATAAATATTTATATATATATATATATATATATATATATATATGCATATTGTGTTTGAAAAAGACTTACAATGAAGAAGTACGGATCGTACAGGAGTGATAATACTACGTTGTACATCGCGTTGATTCTTTACGCGCTTGGTAGTAGTTACGAAGCGAGTTGTACAACACGCAGTGTTTGTTTGTGGTAAAAAAAAAAAGAAAAAAAAGGAACTACAAGACATTGATAAGAGAGGGAGAGAGAAAGAAAAAGAGAGAGAGAAAGAGAGAGAGAGAAAAGGAGAACAGCTCTAGAAAGAGGAAGCTAGCACCGAACGGAGAGAGGTGAAAAGGTGGGAGAGAAGAAGGAAAAGGGGTGAGAAATACATAGAGAGAGAGAGAGAGAGAGAGAGAGTGAGAGAAAGACAGATAGAAAGAGAAAAGCTGTGGAGAGAGTAATGATCGTGACGACGGTTTTGCAGACAAATGAACACCTCCGCACAGCGTTTGGAATATCCCAAGTAAGTAACGAAGTCTCTCGTTATACGAAACCTACTTTCTCGCGTCGTCAAGGAAAATCCAAAGATATATAACCACATCATCTTACCTTAGACACTACCCTCCTTCCCTTCCTCCCTCCCGCCTTCCCACCATTTTTTCCTTCTCTTTTTCCTTACCTTCTTTTTATTCTTAACATCTCTCTCTCTCTCTCTCTCTCCCTCCTCTCTTTTTTTCTCTTTCTCTGTCAATCTAATACATTTTTTACCCCCCAACGATTCTCTCATTTCATTTGGAATAAACGCGCCTAAGGCGTCCTTCGCACAACGTTAAATCACCGAGGGGAACGATGAAAACAAGTAACAATGAATCTTTTGTAATTCCCTTTGACGTTGGACCATAAAAGGAAGAGTTTCTGAGTTTCAACTCTTCCGTAAGTGGGCTAACCTTATGAGATTTTATCTAGCTATAACGGAAGTTATAAAAGTTGACTGTTTCCCTCTTCTCCTTTCCTTTCTCTCTCTCTCTTTTTCTCTTTCTCTTTATCTATCTCTTTCTCTTTCTCTTTCACTATATAACTATCTATTTATCCATCCATCTTTCTTGCTTTCTCTTTCTCTCTTAGTCGTTCACTTTAATTTCTGATATTCGAGAGCATTCCCACCGTGGAATTTTCAGTAGTCGAGAAGAAACGAGGAAGAATTTTCAACGTCGTCCTTTTTTTTTTTTATAAAAGATGATATCTCTTCTTCTGCCTCTCTCTCTCTCTCTCTCTCGCTCTTTCTTTCTCTATAAAATATGTTCTCTCTGTCAGTCATCCTTTAGCAAAGAATCGTCTAGTTCGAAGAATGTAATTTCTTCTATTCAAAACTGACTGTGACTTATTATCTTGTGATAATAGATGTATACCGTAGTAACAACGCTTTTCGTCGAATGATTCATCGATGTTACGATTATACGATATCGTTTGTGTAGGAAACCTCTTTGGAAAGCACTACTACGTTGCTCGACTAGCCAGAGCGCATTTGGCGCGAAATCCGACGTGCGGTTGGCATCGGACCCACCAATGGGGTGCGTCCTCAAGCGCACTGGATCGTGCTTAACGAGCGTTTCTCACCGAAACTCGTTCGGCAAAAGTCCTTGCTTTCTTGACTAACTAGGCCGCGTTTAAAATGACCTTTCTTTTTCTCTTTTTTCTCTTTCTCTCTCTCTCTCTCTCTCTCTCTTTTGCTCTCTCTCGCTCTCTTTTCATTTTTATCGCGAGGTTACACTTCGAAAAGGGTATTAACCGTGCGGAAAGATCAAAGCCTAGTTGTAAACTCGTCAAACAAGTCGTTAGTTTCCAACACTTTGAGAAAATAAAATCGATAAACGTCGACAATCTTTTGCTCAATGTCCTAATAATACGTTCTACGATTGCCCGATCAAAGTCGCAATATATATTTTTTTTTTCTTTCACTTTCTCCTTTTCTTTTTTCCTTATTTCTCCCTTTTCTTTTTTTTTTTCTTTTGAAAACGATCGCAATTCCTATTCATAGGATCAACGACGAAGGGTACCAAAAAAGAAAAAAAAAAAAAACAAAAAAAAAAGAAAAAAGAGAGAAAGATCAAATTTGTAGTCTAAATGTTATTTTGGCGAGTCTTCATAACGTTTCGATGCATTAGCATTTTTATGGGGGTCCATAGTTGCTGGTTGGCTGCTTCTATTTGTACTTGAATATATATATATATATATATATATATATATATATATATATATATATATGTAGTATCTATATAAGCAACGAGTTAGAGACACCAAGGAGGAAACACCGAAAACGGAATTCAAAGGAGAAGAAGTAGAAGGAAAAAGAGGAGAAAAAGGAGAAAGAGGAGGAGGAGGAGGAGGAGGAGGAGGAGGAGGAGGAGAAAGAAAAGGAGAAAGAGAGGGAGGAATGGTGTGAGAGGAGGATGACACGATATGTAGGTGTCAGTGTGGGAAAGCAGAAAGGAGCCGAGTAGGGGAAATAGTGGGAGTAGGCAGAAAAGTAGGAGGAGAATGAGTAGGATAAGGAGAAAGAGAAGGAAGAGGTGCGGGGTTTGGGGGTGATAGGAGAGCGGGTGGAAGAGGTCATAAATGGTAGCAGGGAATCAGGTGGGAAACAATGGATAAGGGAGAAAGGAAAGTAGGTGTAGGAGGAAGAGGGCGAATGTAACCGCTCTTATTTCTTCTCGCTGCCACCGTGGCCCGACCCGGAAACAAAAGACGATCCGACATCAAACATTCAAATTAGAAAACTCCCCGTCGTCCGTGGTCCGACCGTGGTCCGGATTATCCCCGGCACACTCTTCTCTCCTCTCATCTTCTCTTCGATCTATCCTCTCTCTCTCTTTCTCTCTCTTTCGCTCACGCGTGTGCTAAACCACGATCCCCTACTTTTCCAAGGCCGCAAGAGCTCACCTCCCACCTACCTCTACCCTTTCCTCTCCTCCGACTCCTATCCCCACATATAAAGCGCATACTAACTCATATTCGATCGTAATTCTACGATCGATCAAACAACTTCTATCTTCCGTACTTATACGAAATACGAGATCCCACGTTTACCATAATACCGAAGGAACATTGCGAAGAAGTAGATGAAGAGGAAAGCTACTTCTTCATATAGAAAAGTAAAATGGATCGAAACTAAGGAAGAGAAATTGAGAGAAAGATGATGAAATAGAAAGAGAGGTAGAGACACAGACAGAGAGAGAGAGAGAGAGAGAGAGAGAGAGAGAGAGAGAGAGAGAGAGAGAGAGAGAGAGAGAGAGAGGTTTCTCTCTGTCGTTTATTTTCTGAAAGTACCTGCCACTTTAATAAGGAACAGCTTCCACGAATTCAGGCTTTCCTCCTTGGAATTCAGAGGATTCCTCGAATAACGTAGATATCCTTGCCTTTTGCGAAAACCATATACATATCTCCATCCGGATGTATTCCCATATACCTATATCTATATTTACAGTTGGAAAGTATTGAAAATTTAGAGTCGACTCCAATAAATATATATATATATATATATATATATATATATATATATATATATATACACATTTATACATAATTGATTACCAACACGAATTAAAGTTTAAATGTGGATCGTTATTCGCTGTTTAAATTTGATTGAATTTTTGCTCGTCGATCCGTAAACTTTGCGAATCATTATTAACGATATACTTATACATACATTATACATAATATATGCATATATTACATATACCTATACATACATATATTTAATCAAAATTCAGTATAAATATACGCGCACACATACACACACACATCATATATATATATATATATATATATATATATATATATATATATATATATATATATATATATATACGCACTAAGTTATACAAAGTATATAATATAATTTTAGCAATAACTCGACATACTCTAATTTCTATTCCTTTCGAGAGAACTCAACGAACGTGAACGGAATGAACGATTGCTAACAGATACGATTTATAATGTACGCTTTGACGATACTAGCCCACAGTTATATCTGATTACGATGTGATATACGATAGAGAAAGCCGCGAGAGCAAACGTAGCTTAACTAATATTGGCTCGGTCGTGTGTAACGCCCAAACGAAGATCCTCGGCCAACATTTAAAGTCGAAAGCTATTCAAACATCGATTCCCTGAGTTCGTTCGTTCGTTCCTACGTTCGTTCGTTCGTTCGTTCGTCCATCCGTTCGTTTGTTCGATGCCACGAAGGAGAAAGAAGACCCTAGATTTTCATTTTTCCTTTTATTCTCAAAAGTGAGAATCAATTACGTTGCGTTTATTAAGAACGCTTACGAAAATAAACTTTCTACCTTTCTCTCTCTACCTGTCTCTCTCTTATTTTCTCTTTCTTTTTTCTTTTTCTCTTTCTCTTTCTCTTTCTCTTTCTCTTTCTCTTTCTCTTTCTCACTCATTTAACTTCTCTCAACCTACTTCTTTCCAGTCGCTTAAGTTCCCCTAGAAAGCACAATTTCATCAAGTAATCAAAAGTGTTTGCCCGTTAATCCTTAAACGTAATATTTTAATCCATTCGATCAAAGAAATTTGTTTTAAGAGAAAGCTGCAAAAGAGAGGGGAACCGTGAAGGAAAGAGAAGGGGAAGAGCAATGGGAGGTTGAGGGGGCGGGGTCGAGGGCGAGGAGTAAAGGGAATAGTAGAATGTAAATGTTGTATATACGAGATGAAAACGACTTTGCTACTTTCGCGCTTAGCAAGACGTTAATTAGTTCCGTTGCAACGTGCCTTCGTGGTCCACTGAAATTAAAGAAAGAAAAACAGTGAAAAAGAGCAAAAGAAAGAGAGAGACAGAGAGACAGAGAGAGAGAGAGAAAGAGAAAAGGAACGGAGAAGAGAAATAAGAAAAGAGAGGAAACAAAATAAAAAAGAAAGAAATCACCCACGTATACGCATTAGTAGTTCCTTCGAGAGTCTGAAACGAAACCAACAGGGGAAACTCGTCTTATGAACATGGAATGAAAATATTGCAAATTTCTAGAAACGTAGTAGTCGGGGCTCGAAGAAGATTATGTGGTTTCGATGAAAGAAGATGATAAAAAGGAGAGAAGGAGAGAAAAAAAAATAGAAGGAAAGAAAGAAGAGATATAGGAAAAGAGAGAGAGAGAGAGAGAGAAAGAGGGAAGATTCTCTTCTTGAACGAATAGGAGGGCGTCGTTCAGCCGATGGTACGGTTATCATTTGCAGAGTAGTGCTATTAGCATAATGTAATTCCTTTTTTCCCCAGGACACCTGTCGATGCCATTATTCGATCCTCGCGGCGAAAGAATATTGATATTTCCGTAATCGAGTAGATACGGGCCGGCGTGTTGGTTGGCATGTTGTTTAAAAAAAAAAAAGAAAAAAAAATATTAAAAGCAATATATTTTCCGAAGCGAGTGTTACTATAGTAAAAGTAATACAAGGAAATCTCATGTTTCCTCTATTTCTCTTTTCTCCTTCTTTCTCTTTTACTTCTTCTCTTTTCTCTTTTCT